AGGGATTCAGATGGCTAAATTTTAATGCTCCACAGGTGTCAAATACCACAGGAAGGCAGCAAGGGACAGGTAAAACTCCCAAATGCTAGTCTGAACTAGATTAAAATGTAATTGGGAGATACTTAACAAAATAAATAAAAATATAATACAACATAGACAATATTCATTTGTGGTTTTCTAAATCAATATTTAGCCTGCAGAGATCCCTTTCTATTTGAGTTTGATATTACTGTCATTAGGACCTCATTTTAAGGCCAACTCACTCCATACTCAATACATTTCAGTGGCACCCTATTGCCTCTAGGATCAAATTTAGCTTTTAAAACCTTTCACAACCTGGCCCCAACTTACCTTTCCAGTTTCATTCTGTGTTACTTCTGTCCAACACCTTTGGTTATGGCAAATCGGTTTTCTCTGTGCTCCTCACAAAAGATGCTCTTGTCTCCCATTTCTGTCTTTGTACTTACTGGCTGTTCCTCATGCTTGGAATGTATTTTCTCCTCAGCTCTGCCTTATAGAATCAGTCCCTCCATTCCTCTGCAGGGCTAAGCTTAAGCACCACCAAGTCTTACATCATGACTCTCCTGATCTTGTTTAATAGAGCTCACCTTTCCAAACAACCTTTTTTTTAACTACTCTGAATGTATTTTTATTCATTCTCCTTATGTCTATTTTGTATGTACTTATGTGTCCTTGGGTTCCCCATTAAAATGTAAACTACTTTCTAGTAGAGATTGTTTCATTTATTGCAATTTGAACCACCTAGTGCCCAGCATGGTGTCCCACATATGATATAGCTGCTTAATACTTATTGATTCATTGATTTATTGTGGGAATTGCCTCATCCTTGAGAATTTCTTATAACAATGAAATCATAGATCTGACACTAATAAAAAAAAAATCAGAACAAAACCCAACAACAACAACCCAGGAGACATTAATGTTACATGGTATGTAAACCTGTCACCTTTTGGTATGTTTTAAAATGTATAACAATGAATAGTTCAATTATATAAAATAACACTTTACAATTTACATATGTCTCTCCTCACAGCAACCCTGTGAGGTCAGTAGGGCAAGTATTATTTGCCCAGGGTCACAAGAGTCATATAGTATTCATGTCAACATTTGAACCCAGGTCTTCTCATTCCAAGTCCAATGTTCTTTCCACTATACCTCACTATTCCAAAGCATTCTTTGTGTATTTGTTTTAAAGGAAAAAAAATAGATGTGGTGCAAAGAGTACTTTATTATGAGGAAGTGATCTAGATTCTAATCTCCCTATGTTATTACTAGTTTTATGACCTTGGACAAACCATTTATGAAGATTCTACATATGCCACTTCCTCAGTAGGGTTATTAGTATGAAGGAAAGAAAACAATTTTTAAAAAATTAGCATAAGGGAATATATAACACAAATTTTTAAAAAATCAGCACAGGGGCATATATATATATATATATATATATACAGTATAGTAGCATCCACAGCTCCTTGGGTCAGTTTTGATTCTTCAGAGACTATGGAGTTCCATGACTCGAAACCACTTGAAGAATAGTGATATTAAAAACAAAAGGCAATAGAGAAATGCATGATGGAAGTCAGTAGATTGCATTGTATAACTAGTGATAGCTTGGATGCAAGTAATATAAGAGCAGTAGTGTCAAACTCAAATACAGATGGATCATATTGACTTAGAAAATTACAAATTAACATTATGTTGCATTATATTTTTATTTATTTTGTTAAACATTTACCAATTGCATTTTAATCTGGTCCAGCTCACTTGGAAGTTTTACAGGCTCCAAGGGGTGAGTGAGAGGGCTCTGATGTAGAGGATAACATTCAGGAAATGTATGCTTGGACAAGGAAATGACTGGAAACTTAGAGTTATCTTTGTCATGTTAAAATACCTAGAGATAGTCCTTCCCCTAGGAGATTGTTCTTCCCAGAAGAATTTGGGTAGGAATGGACCAGAACTGCCCTGGATTAGGAGGATAAAAGGGTTGTAATCTTTACTGTTGGAGGGAGAACCCACATCAATAGATCACAGATCTCTTGACATTAGCATTAACTCAAGCTATGTTTGTGACTCTTAATTGTCTGATTTTCTGGTTTTTTTTTTTCCTTTAAGTGTTTCCTTGGTGCCTTTATCAGTAAAATTAAGCTGGAGGAAGAGAACTCTGTCATAAGAAGGTAGCAGTTTTTAAGAGAATACAGAGTAAAATTTTAGTTTGGGTCACATTTAAATCATCACTAATAACAACTCACATTTATATAGTGCTTAAGGTTACAAAGTCCTTTCTGAACAGTAACACAGTATTGTGTGAATATAGGTAGGATCCCCATTTTATAGATTAGGAAACTGGCTTAGAGAGGCTAAGAGATCAGATAACTCTTAGAAAATGTAAAAAAATGTGTCTGATAAAATAGATAACTGAGAGTAGTCCTCACTTAAAATTTTTTATTGTACAATCCAAAAGTTTCATCTCACACCCAGAAATTTTTAAAGGTAACAAATGATAGCAATGGTCAAGTGTTTGGAGGGGTTATGGGAAAATAGGTACACTAGTGTATTGTTAGTAGAGCTATGAATACCATTTTGGAAAGCAATTTGGAATGAAGTGATAAAGATGTCTATATCTTTTGACCCAGGAATTCCATTATTAGGCCCCAAGGAGGTTATTGAAAAGGAAAAAAGTTACCATACACATCAAAATAATTATAGCAGCACTTTTTGTGGGAACAAAGAACTGGAAACAAAGCAGATGCCCACTGATTGAGAAAAGGTTAAATTGTTAAATTTAAATAGTTACATATCACTGTGCCATAAGTAAGGATGAATATGATAAATAAGAGAAGCATGGAATGACATACATAATCTGATGCACAGTAAAGTGAGGAAAGCCAAGAAAGCAATATACACAATGACAATAGCAATGTAAATGGGAAGAACAACCACAAAAAACTTAAGAGAATGTTACAAAATTACAAAGAACAAACATGGTCTCCAAAAAAGAAAAATAAGATACTTCCCCACCTCCTCTGCAAAGGTGGGAGATCCACAGGTGTGGACCATTGCATATATTTTCATAATTTTGATATATATTTATTGATCTTGCTGATTTTCTTTTTTTTCTCTTATTTTTCTTTTAAAAAATTGTTTTATGGAATAGCTCTATGGGAGAGGAGAGGACAAATTTCGATAATGTAGAAAAAATCAATATATGTATTTTTTAAAATAAGTTTTTATATTTTTATATTATAGACATTTGTGTATATGAACCCCTTTTTACCCTCACTTCCCTTGAAACAAAAACAAACAAAAAACAAATCCTCCCCCTACAAAAAAACAAAAACAAAAACCCAGGAAGCTGAGTGTGACATTGCATACAGCATCCAGTCTCTAGTAGTCTCACCATCATCCCTCTCCACTCCCTGAAAGGAGGTGTGGTTTTTTTTATCCGTTCCCTAGAGCCAAGATTAGTTATTTCAATTACTCCTTTTAGTACTTTCATCTGCCAGTGAGTCACAACTGCCACCACCCTTATAGAAGTAAATGAGTTAAATATTTTTGTTTGGAAATACTGCAACTGCAGGAGCTAGATTTTTTTCCAGAGGGTGAATGAAATTTCTCAGCATAAAATAAAGTCTCTATGACTTTTTTCTCTGTTTGTCTCCTATTGCCCCTTTCACTTCTCATAAACAAAAACCAAAGTACTGTATCTTTCAAATTAGGATGCTTAAGCCAAGAAATAAATGGATAAAATTGCTGACCCACTTTTCTGTCTCCTGTGTACAATGATAACGTCTTTGTCTAGTATATGCCAACTGTCATGAATTTTCTTCCAGTGCTGAGTGATGTGAAAGCTAGGTATCACCTTTCCAAAAGTGGAATTGGGATGCCTTGGGAAGTAACATCATTAAGGGGGTCTTCAAATAAAGGCTAGATGGCCCCTTGTCAGGTCTATGAGACAAGAATCCTATAGGTTAGGCTTGATGACCTCTGAAGTCCCTTCCAGTTCTGGGAGGATGTAATTCTGTAACTCACAACACAGGGTTTTGTTTTGTTTTAACTTGGGAATTTTGATTAATTTATGATTTTACTGGTATGACCACAATATCCACTGACTCAACTTACAATTGCTGCATGCTTTTGTATTCTCTGGGTTCTTGTCCCTGTATTTCCACAGGTTCTTCACACAGGATCTGTCCAATATTCTAGAAGTCATCTTGTTCCTTTTAATATTTTTAGTATCTCAGGAGTGCTAATGGACCACTTCATCTCGTTACTTGCTCTCACTCCATGTTGTCCTTTTACTCTTGTCCTCAACAATGTCATAGTTGGTAACATGCTATGTAGGATGCTTCTAGCTACCATGCATCTTTCCACTGTCCTTTGATTATGTATAATTTTATTTTTTTTCTAGAATCATGATGTTCCATGATTCATATCAATATGACATCATTAGTTGAATAAATGGATTGCCCGCAGCAATGAGCACTTTGGGAACACTGAGGGTACCATTTCTGAAATGCAATCCAATCTTCCTCAATTCTGAGCCCCTCTCGTTGTTCATCTGTGCCATAGTCTGGGTAGCTGTTTTTGGCAACATAAGGATAAGCATATAGCAATAGTGCTGTGTTGGGGCACAGTAATAGCAGTGAGCAGTAGTAGCAGTAAGAGCAGGGCTCCTACACAGAGGGCATCAGTAAGGTGAGGGGTGATGGTTCTGGAAAAAATGGGGCAATTCATACCTTTGTACCCTTCATTTAAAAAAAAAAAAAAAGGGACAGCAGCTAGATGGCGCAGTGGATAGAGCACCGGCCCTGAAGTCAGGAGGACCTGAGTTCAAATCAGGCCTCTGACCAAACACTTGCCCATACTAGCTGTGTGACCTTGGGCAAGTCACTTAACCCCAATTGCCTCACCAAAAAAAAACCAAACAAACAAACAAAAAAAAAACAAAAAAAAAATAAGCAAAAAAAAAAAATTGCCAGTAGGTTCCTCCCAATCAATTTCAGCTTTGCAAAGATGAAGAATATCTTCTGTATAAAGGAGCCTTATGAACATGTTTACAAGCTTATCCTTATTTGTTAGTAGCCTGTACTTTCCCATAAGAGGTTCACTGTTGACAAAGCAAATGAAGATTCTTTTTTATTCACCTAGTGTGCCAAGTATACAAGTGTGCCATATACAAGATTCTTCTCTTCCTCCTCCTTTTTTTTTTTTAAAGGAATAGTCTGTGGGATGTTTGTGGATATCCTGCCTAGATTTGATCCTTATTTAGCTAGCCTTAATTGGAACATTTCCTTAAACACTCATAGGTGGATGTTCACAGTTAAAATAAAGTGAAAAATGGTATCTGGCAAAAAGGCAAATACAAAAGGATGAAATGCCTAACAAACAACATTTGGTCACATTATAGTAAACTGGGAAGAAAGCTGGCTTTGGAGTCAGAGAACCTGGGTTAGAATCCTATCTATTTTCATCTGTGTGACCCTGGGCAAGTCACTTGACTTCTTTGAAATTCGGTTTCTTTATCAATAAATTGAGAAGCTCAAATCAGTAGTTCTTTTCCACAATCCTATCACTTACTCCAGGTTGAGGACTTAGAGCCAGCCAGAACCAGAACCTTAGAGCCAATCATCTAGTTGAATTTTGATCCTCACTCTCATTTTAAATGAGGAAACAGAAGCCCTAAGAAACTAGGTGTGGTAAGTTAAGTGCTGGAATTGGAGACAAAAGAAAAAAATAAACCTTACTGTGGGTTCAAATCTCTTTTACTAGCTTTGTGATGGGGACAAGTCACTTATACTGTGTTTCCTCATTTGTAAAAAGGTGATAAAAATGCCTCAGGTATTTTTTTGGGAGGGGGGCATCTGTTGTGAGACCCAAATGAGATAATATAAGTAAAATGTTTTATAAACTTTAAAGTGAAATAAAGATTTCATTGAAAGACCAGAATTCCTGGAATTCCTGCTCTCAACCAACACATATCAACAACTAGGTTTGCACTGTGTAGTTTTAGGGGAGTTGCCTGAAGCACTGAAAAGTCAAGTGCACCTCCAAGGTCGAACAACCATTTTGCCTGAAGCAGGACTTGAAGGCTGGTCTTTCTGACAGCAGTCCAGACTTCCATCCATTATACCATATTATTAATTAATTAATCTCATTGTTAATTGTTTACTAGATTAAATGCATTTCCTATGGTCAGACAGGTTAGTTGGTAGCAGAGCAAGGAACCCAAATCCAATATTATTTCTATTTCACCATATGATATCTAAGGGACTATTTTAATCAATCAATAAACATTTATTAAACACTTACTGTGTGCCAGGAGATAGGAGTGTTTTGTTCTTGGAACAGCCAGAAGTCCAATGTCACTGGATCAGAGAATATATCTGGAAGTAGTAGGGTGTGAAAAAACTGGAAAGGTAGGAAGGAGCTAGGTTATGAAGGCCTTTGAATGCCAAACAGAGCATTTATATTTGTTCTTGGAGGCAATATGAAACCACTGAAGTTTATTGAGTGGGGTCGGTGGGGGTGGGGGTGGGGTTATGAGTGTGTGACAATATCTGACTTGGGTTTTTAGGAAAATCACTTTAGTGGCTAAATGGAGAATAGATTGGAGTGGGAAGAAACTTGAAACACGCAGACCTACCATCAGGCTATTGCAATAATCAAGGCATGAGGTGATGAGGCCTTGCATTTAGAGTGATGGCTGTGTAAGAAAAGAGAAAGGGGAATATTTGGGTGATGTTGCAAAGATGAACTCACAGGCCTTGGTAACACACTGTATATGGAGGGTGAGAGAGAGGAATTGAGGATGACTCCTAGGTTGGGAGCCTGAGGGAGTGGAAGGATGATGTTGCTTTCCACTGTAATAGAGAAGGTAGGAGTGGGAAGAATTTAGGGTAAAAAATAATGTATTTTTGGAAATAATTGATTTCAAGATGTCTACTGGACATCCAGTTCATAATATCAGAGGTATAGTTGGAGATGAAAGATTGGAAGTCAGCAGAGAGATTAGGGCAGGATAAGTAAATCTGAAAATCATTTGCATAGAAATAGTCATTAAATCCATGGGAACTGAGGAGAACACCAAGTGGAGTAGTACTGAAAGAGAAAAGGGCCATGACAGAGCCCTAAGGGACAAGTACTGTTAGAGGGTGAGATCTGGAGGAAGATTCTGCAAAGTAGACCAGAAGGAGTGGTTAGCTATGCGGTGGGACAACAGAGGTGCATGGAAAACCTTGAAGGAAGAGAATGTCAGGGAAGAGAGTGATCAGCAGCATGAAACATCAAAGAGAGGTCAGGGAGCTGGATGAGTGAGAAAAGGCTGTTTGATTTGGCAATTAAAAGATCATTAATAACTTTGGAAACAGTTTTAGTGGAATGATAAGGTCAGAAGTCAGACTGTAAGTGGTTAAAAAGAGAGAAAATGTATTACATAGTAGGGTTTTAGGAGGATTGCTTAGCAGCAATCAAGGGCCCAGTTGAGGTTACGTAACAACATTATTTTGTACATTATATATTATATACAGTGTATCTTTATTATGTATAATAACATTGTTTAATAAATATTTTGCCTTTTCCTATCATTTATAATTTTTTTTTTTTTGCAAAAATGCAAGAACATATTTTAGTAAAGCAGTCAGGTGAGTCAGAAAGAACCCAGGATCTTGGAGTCATTAGACTAAAATTTTAGTCTTAGTGCTGCAGCTTACTAGCTAGCTGTGTGACCTTTTTTGAGTTACTGAGTCTCATTTTCCTCATCTGCAAAATGGTGGTAATATTATAGGTACTGCCTATCTCACAGGGTTATTTAGGTGGGGGGAGGGAACAAACAAGGCATTTTAGGGTACAAATGTGAGTAAACATTTATACAGTGTTTTAAGACTTGCACCAGTAACTTGTTCCCTCTACAAACTTCTACATAACACTGGGAAATAAAGGGCATATTTCTGAGTGCCCTATTTTCAAATGACCCCACTGCACTACCACATGTCATTCAGGGATCCAACACGGAATGCTTCTCTTTTCCAGGAAAAGCTGAGGGGAGGGGGAAGAGGACTGAGGGTGGGGATGGACTTTGGTACATTGGAACTGTGGAAACAAAATGTAGGACAAATGATCTCTGAGCTACAGATAAGTTCACAAATTTTTGAACAATCTATATTTAGAAATAGCTGTTGTCATCATATCTCCATTCTTATCCCCTTTTCCCCCTGGGAACCCTCATCAATGAACTTGAGACTTTAGGGAAAAGTGGATATGACCTAACTCTGGTGGGCTAGTAACTTGGAAGAGGTAGGGAAGGGGAAGGAGTGTTGTTAAACTTGCAATGTATAGACCAGGTGTTCATAACAAGGTGTCCATAGTAGACAGATTTCATGGGATCTGTGAACTTTCATAGGGGAAAAAATGACAACTTTCATTTCATTAACCTGTAACTGAAATTTAGCATTTCTTTCAATTAATTAATTTACACAGGCCTTTAATGTCACAACTCTCTGCTGTGACAATGTAACCATTATTACTGAGTATAGCGTCAAGTCTTCTCTGGATCTGTCCAAATCATATTTTTCTAGGTCCAGTTCAAATTGACTCCTATAATTTACTTTTTCAGGTTACTTACCTATCTTTTTCTTCCCTCCATCAGAACTACTTATTTTGACACTGAGCCACACGATAATTTATAGCCGCATACCACTCCAGTTATAAAAAGTCATTTCAAAAGCCACATAATGTCTCCAGGCGTTTCCTCACCTATAAAAGAGAGTTAGACTGACTACATGATTTCTAAAGGTTCCTTTTAGCTCTAATATTTGATTTTGTAACCTTGATCCACAAGCCAACCCTATGGTGATAAATAATACAACTATAATTATGCTTATTATATGGACAAGGAAATCCTAAGGTAACTGTTAGAAGGGGCTGCCACTCATTAGTATTTAACTTTCATGTGAAATGTGAGCAGTGTGTACTATCAGTGTAGTAGGGAAGAGCACTGGACTAGGCACCAGTCAGGGAAAATTGGCTCTGCCACTAATTGTATATGTGACATTGGTCAGCAGGATATATGACCTAGTCCCAGGATCAGAGAATTAGAGGTAAAAGAGACCTTAGAGGCCCTCTAACTCCCTTACTTTATAAATGGGGTAACTGAACTGCATAGAGGTTGTGACTTGCTCAAGGTCATGAAGGTACTATTTGAATTCAAGGCCTCTCTCTCCAAATTTAGGGTTCTTTCCACACTATCAGTAATGTCATTTTACAAATGAGGGAACTGAAGCTCAGAAAGGTTAAATGCCTTGCTCCAGGTCATAGAGTTTGAAAGAATTAGAATTTGAACCTGGGTTCTAAATTCAGGGCTATTTTCATATTTAGTATTATTATTCTCATCTTACATGAAGAAATTGAAGCTCAAAAAGCTTAATAATTTGACAAGTAACAGCTATTACAATATCGAAGGGAGCCACATTTTTTTAAAAAAAAAGGTCTTTTTACTTCTAATTCAGTTTTCTTTCCAGTGCAAGGAGGAATATGGAGTTGGAGCTGGGGTGGGGGTGGGGAAGTGGCCTAAAAGGCCTTTCAATCAAACCCCCACTTCAGAAGCCTAAGAAATCTGAAACCTAGTGTGACTAAATGATTTGCCCAAGGTCACAGAAGTTCAGTTCCCAAATCTCAGGTTTTTTTATATTACTTCCACCTTTGAAATTCCAAGTCATCTACACACCTCCACTCCTTTGCAGTGGTGTGGAACACTACATATTATTTTCACTTATTTGCATTGTATTGATTAGTTTTACTGTTTTATTTTTACTTAATCCAGGAGAAATTTTTGCTTTGTAAGAAAGAGATAGCAATAGCTATTTATTAAAAGAAAAAAATTTCAAGTCCCTTCGACTGTTCTGCATTGGGGAATGTGGCCCCTGGGGTGGGATGGATCATCTGGGAGCAAGGAGGGGGACATGACAGTCTGTCAACAGCTGTCCAGACCCAAGTGCAGCTGGGTCTCCTCCCTACGTGGAGTGGGGGGGTGGGTCAAAATGGTTGGGGGTGGAAGGCGTCCTATGAATGGGCGGAGAGTCTCAGAAGCCAAGTCCCCCCAGAGTCCTTCAGGGTGACAGTCAAGCCGATTACTATCAGGGGATCAGCAGCCCAAGATGTCAGGCCCTAGGCCCGGCTCATCCATCACTGACCGCCCAGCTGCTGTCTCCAAACCAGGCCGGGCCTCTCTCGGTCCCCACACCGACTGGGCACCAGAGCACGACCCGCGGCCCTTCAGGTCAAAGGCACCCATTCTCATGGCTAGGCCACGGCTCTGATGCCGGGACGTGGGCTTTTGTTCTCCCAGAGACACATGCGAGGCGCAGGGCGGGAGTCTGGAGGGGAGGCCCCGCACTGGGTGACAGCCTCCTTCCCCCCCTCCCCGCTCCCCGCCAGCCAATGGGAGCGTCCGGAGCAGGCCGCAGGGGGCGGAGCGAGGAGGCTTTAGCGCCTGCGCGGGGGGTACCGTGTCCTTTCGGTCTGAGCTGTAGCAAGTGGCTGTGCAGGCAGCAGCGAGTTCCCCAGCTTTTGGCCCTCTCTCTCCGGCTTTCCTTCTCCAACTCCAACACCTTCTCCCTCCCGTAACCATGACGGAACAGGCCATCTCCTTCGCCAAGGACTTCCTGGCTGGTGGCATCGCCGCTGCCATCTCCAAGACTGCGGTGGCCCCCATCGAGAGAGTGAAGTTACTATTGCAGGTGCGTGCCTGGGGCGCATGCAATGTCAGGCCTGGAGCCCGGCTGGGGACAGCCGGGGACTGGGGTGGGAGTGCACATGGGGGGAAGACGGGTATCTGGGGCGGGAGCAGTAGGCTCGAGGATCCGCGCTGGGGGCAGGCGCCCACCCTCGCCGCCCTTCCACAGTGGGGCGGGGGCGAGGGCGGACAACGCCCTTAGTGGTCGCGGAGCCTTCTCGCTAATCTCGCTACTGGCGGACACGAGCGCGCGCTCCCGCCCGTCCTCCCTCCCGTCCTTGACCGAGGAGGTCGTGTAGGAGGGACGGGAAGGTGACGAGGAGGAAGTAGCCCCCGGTTGGGTGTTGGGAACGGGGGAGGCTAGTCTTCAATGACACGTGGGTCTTCTGCCCTCCCTCCGTCGCCTCGGGCCCTTGGGGATTGGCGCGAAGCTCCCGGAAGTGTGCGTGAGCTGGCCGGGCAGGGGAGGTCTTTGTCCCTCGCGCCCCGCCCCGGCATCTTCACCCCCTGCTGCCCTTTTAAGGGAGAGGAAGAATGAGGAAGGGCGGGAAGGGCTGACGTCAGCTCGTCACGTAGTGCCGGCTTCGCTGCCGCAGTCGTTGAGCTGTCGCGAGGAGTCTGAATGCGGCAGGAGGTGGAGGGGAAGGGGAACGTCTCGGGTTGTCATGGTGACCCCCCCCCAACTGAGGACTCGGGCCTCCTTGCCTGTCTGCCCACGTTTTCTGCCTCCAGGCGCTCACTGCTTGGGCTTCCCCTTCTTTTGGGGTGCAGGCGTGGTTGTTGGGTGTCTTGGCCTCTGCATTTTTTTCCTTTTTAAATAGACTCTGGGGAGAATCTTCCACTCTCTCAACCCCCCCCCCCTTTTTTCTTTTAAACATACAGTACGGCCAGATAAAAGGATTTGGAAATGGAGAGGAAAAAATCCCAGAGGTGGTCTAGTACAATCCCCTGTACTCAAAAAAATGAGGAAATTTAGGCCCAGCGAGCCTAGTCTAAGTTCATTCTCAGTCTGCATTAAGTGATGTTAGCTGCAATCTGGACCCCCACCCAGTGACCAGAAGTGGGTGAGGAAACTGAAGCCTAGAGGAATGAAATGGCATGTTTTTCCCAAGGTCACAGCTGGCTTTGAGATTCATTACTCTTCCCTTTGGTAGATAACCTTGTGAGGTAGGCAGGGCTGGAACATAGAAATTAAATTTAATATTTATTAAGCACAGATGTTGTACGGCATTGTGCTAGGATTTGATGTTCCATACCTGTTTGAATCACCAGGAACCTAGGGAGTGCTGCAGGCCGTACTTGCCCAAGGTCATACAGGTGGTTAATGTTGGAATGGGAAGTAGAACCCAGGCCTCACTAGCTGTAAAATATAGGCCTTGACCTAAGTGACCTCTAAGGCTCCTTTCTGCCTCTTAATTAACCTCTTACATGGATGCAGCAGTAGAGGTCTTCTGACATTACTTATATTTCAGGGCCTATAAAGACTATAAATTGCCAGTTGAAACTCTTAACCAGAAATCTGATGAATGAAAATGGTAAATTCATTTCGTTCATCAGATTGGCAATTTGAAAAAAAGATATTAAGAGCTGGGTTTATTCTCCAAAAGCGTGTTTTAATAGTTATTTTTGTATAAAGATTATTGCCTATTTGGGGAGGGGGGCTTTTATCCTAACAATTTGTTTTATGCTTTTTGGTTTTAGGTGCAGCATGCAAGTAAACAAATTGCTGCAGATAAGCAGTACAAAGGCATAGTGGATTGTATAGTCCGAATTCCAAAGGAACAAGGGGTCCTTTCTTTCTGGCGGGGTAACTTAGCAAATGTCATCAGATATTTCCCCACCCAGGCCCTTAACTTTGCCTTTAAGGATAAGTATAAGCAGGTGTTTTTGGGAGGAGTGGACAAGCACACACAGTTTTGGAGGTATTTTGCTGGCAATCTTGCCTCTGGTGGTGCAGCTGGAGCCACTTCTCTCTGCTTTGTCTACCCCTTGGATTTTGCGAGAACCCGCTTGGCAGCTGATGTTGGGAAATCTGGCAGTGAGAGAGAATTCAAAGGCCTGGGAGACTGCCTGGTGAAAATCACCAAGTCTGATGGAATTCGTGGCTTATATCAAGGTTTCAATGTCTCAGTGCAGGGTATCATTATCTATAGAGCAGCTTACTTTGGAATCTATGACACAGCAAAAGGTAAGAGTCCTTTTAAAATGTTGCCATTACCTTAGAATAAATACATTTATACTGTTTCCTTTTCTATTATAAATAGATCAAATAAGTTTGATTATAACTACTTTGTGGGGTTTTTGTATTTTTATCTGAGGTAAGTTACTTACAACCCTTCTGCAATCTGGTTTAATAGACAAATTGGCTCCTAGCAAACACAACAGGATTTTAATCAGTGCTGTCTTGTCATTAATGACCTTTGCCAAATTAATTTGTATAGCCTCTAAATTTTAATGTAATTTAGAATATATTCCTTAGTTGCAACCTAAAGGGCATAGAAAAAAAATCTTGTCTGCAAGGGGTCTGTATGGTATAGTTTTCTGTAGTTGAAAACAATTTAAGGTTTTAAAGATGGCTTTTTTGTACTGTAGAGTAAAACTAAAGTAGTTTCTTCTGTTAGATTAGCTTGACATTTAAGTGTAGGATCAGCGGTTTGAATTTAACAAATGTGATTATTTTCCAGGAATGCTCCCAGATCCCAAGAACACTCATATTGTGATAAGTTGGATGATTGCCCAAACAGTGACTGCTGTAGCAGGTGTGGTCTCCTATCCCTTTGATACAGTAAGGCGGCGAATGATGATGCAGTCTGGACGCAAAGGAGGTAAGTTTTTCCCTCTTAAATTATAGTCACTATTCTTTAAAAATGCTTTTGATAACAGTGAGGGGGAAATGTAGTATTTATTTATCATAAAATAGCTTTTTGCATTTAACTACACTTTTGCTTTTGGCTAAGCTGAAAATGGTGAAAATCTTAGACAAAAAAAAAAATATTTAGGGGCAGCTAGGTGGCTCAGTGAATAGATCTCTGACCGTGGAGTCAGAAGGACCTGAGTTCAAATCCAGCCTCAAATACTTAACACTAGCTGTGTGACCCTGAGCAAGTCACTTAACCCCAAATGCCTCACCAAAAAGCAAAAAGACCAAAAAAAAAAATATTTAAGTACATTTTCCAGTTATGGAAATGTTTGCTTTTTTTCAGCAGTGTGTTTTGGTTCATTATGCTTTCATGTCTTAATCTACTTCTGGAATGTTTTCTGTAGTAGCACATGCTCTTGCCACTTAGTCCCAGAACCTCGAGTCCCTAGTTCCAGATGTCTTGTGTTCTTTCTACCCTCACCTTTGTTTCCTGAATTCTATCTTGGAAACAAGCTTGACAAAAGCAGGGGTGGGAGTGTAGTGACAGCCACCTACTGCTTAAATCGCTATTATTTTCCTAA